CCCCCCCGTGCCCCCCTGACCCCCCGTGTGCCCGCAGTCGACGCGGGCAGTGTACGAGCGCATCCTGGACCTGCGCATCGCCACCCCCCAGATCGTCATCAACTACGCCCTGCTGCTCGAGGAGCACGGCCGCTTCGAGGACAGCTTCAAGGTGACATGGGGGACACCTGGGGACAGCCTGGGGACAGCCTGGGGACAGTCTGGGGACAGTCTGGGGACAGTCTGGGGACAGGGGGGCTGGGAACACCCCGTGTCTGGAGGAGCACGGGCACCTTGGGGACAGCTTCAAGGTGACAGGGGACATAGGGGACATCTGGGGACAGCCTGGGGACAGCTGGGGACAGCCTGGGGACAGGGGGGGCTGGGAACACCCTGTGGCTGGAGGAGCACGGGCGCTTTGGGGACAGCTTCAAGGTGACAGGGGACACCTGGGGACACCCAGGGACAGCTCAGAGTTGGGGATGCTGAGGGCACCTCGGGGGAACAGCTGGGGACAGGCAGAGGGGACTGGGGACACCCCCCGGCTGGAGGAGCGCGGCCACTTTGGAGACAGCTTTGAGGTGACAGGGGATGCTGGGGACACTTGGGGACACTGTCAAGGTGACAGGGGACACCCCGTGGCTGGAGGAGTTGGATGGGACACCCCAGGGTGGGGGTTGGGGACAGGGTGGTGACCCTGTGTCCAGGGAGGGCTGTGGGGACACCACGGGCACGACACCCTGGGGTGGCCCCGGGGCTCCTGGCGACGGGGGGGGGTGACAGGGGGTGGCAGCGGTGACAGGGGGTGGCAGCAGTGACAGCAGTTGTGCCAGGGATCAGGGTGACAGTGGTGGCAGGGTGACAGTGGTGGCAGGGTGATGTGGGGGGGATGGCAGGGGTGGTGACAGCGGTGTCAGGAGGATGGTGGCAGTGACAGGGCTCTGACAGCAGTGACAGGGCAGTGTCAGGGCAGTGGCAGCAGTGACAGGGTGGTGACAGTGGTGGCAGAGTGGTGACAGCAGTGACAGGGCAGGGACATCTGTGGTAGTGGCAGTGGCAGGGTGGTGACAGCGGTGACAGGATGGGGACATCAGTATTGGGGTGGCAGTGGTGGTGGCAGGGTGATGACAGTGGTGACAGAGCAGGGACATCTGTTTTGGGGTGGCAGTGGCGGTGGCAGGGTGGTGACAGCGGTGACAGGGTGGTGACAGTGTTGTCAGGGTGCTGCCAGGGACAGCAGGGTAGTGACAGGGTGGTGTCAGGGTGGTGACAGGGGTGACAGTAGTGTCAGGGGGACAATGTCAGTGTCAGGGACAGATGATGCCAGATGGTGACAGTGGTGCCAGGCAGTGACACGGTGTCAGGGTGGCAATGGTGGTGACAGTGGTGCCAGGCAGTGACACGGTGTCAGGGCAGCACCCGGGGGTGACCCTGTGCCGTGTCTGTGTCCCTACGTCCCTCTGTCCCCTCAGGCACAGGAATGTGGCATTGCCCTGTCCCACTGGTGACGCTGTCCCTGTGGTGACGGTGTACCTGTGACCACATCCCTGTTGGTGACACTGTCCTTGTTCCAGTGGTGACACTGTCCCTGTGGTGACACTGTCCTTGTCCCAGTGGTGACACTGTCCCTGTGGTGACGCTGTCCTTGTTCCAGCGGTGATACTGTTCTTGTTTTCACATCCCTGTTGGTGACACTGTCCCTGTCCTGGTGGTGACAGCGTCCCTGTCCCCGTGTCCCCAGATCTGTGAGTGTGGCATCCCCCTGTTTTGGTGGCCGCAATGGGTGATCTGTGGCTCGTGTCCCTGTCCCTGTGTCCCTGTAGTGATGTTATCCCTGTCCCCAAAGGCCTCATGGTGACACTGTCTGTGTGTTTCTGTCCCAGTGCTGTCACTGTCCCTGTCCCTGGTGGTGACACTGTCCCTGTGTCTTTGTCCCAGCGGTGACACCATTCCTGTCCCAGCAGTGACACCATCTGTGTCCTTGTGGCCACACTGTGCCTGTGTCCCCAGGCGTACGAGCGTGGCATCGTGGGTGACCTGTGGCTCATGTCCCTGTCCCTGTGTCCCTGTCCCTGTGTCCCTGTCCCCGTGGTGACACTGTCCCCGTGTGTCCCCAGGCGTACGAGCGTGGCATTGCCCTCTTCCCGTGGTCGCAGTGGGTGACCTGTGGCTCACGTCCCTGTCCCTGTGTGTCCCTGTCCCTGTGTGTCCCTGTCCCTGTGTCCCTGTCCCTTTGTCCCTGTCCCCCTGTGTCCCCAGGCGTACAAGCGTGGCATCGTGGGTGACCTGTGGCTCACATCCCTGTCCCTGTGTGTCCCTGTCCCCGTGATGTCACTGTCCCCGTGTGTCCCCAGGCGTACGAGCGTGGCATTGCCCTGTTCTGGTGGTCACAGTGGGTGACCTGTGGCTCACGTACCTGTCCCTGTGTCCCTGTCCCTGTGGTGTCCTTGTCCCTGTCCCTGTGTGTCCCTGTCCCCGTGGTGACACTGTCCCCGTGTGTCCCCAGGCGTACGAGCGTGGCATCGTGGGTGACCTGTGGCTCATGTCCCTGTCCCTGTGTCCCTGTCCCCGTGTGTCCCCAGGCATATGAACGTGGCATCGCCCTGTTCCGGTGGCCGCACGTGGGTGACCTGTGGCTCACGTACCTGTCCAAGTTCGTGGCGCGTTACGGGGGCCGGAAGCTGGAGCGGGCGCGGGACCTGTTCGAGCAGGCACTGGACGGGTGCCCCCCCCAGCACGCCAAGAGTAAGGGGGCTCGGAGGGCACAGGGGGCACGGGGGGGCACGGGGGGCTCAGGGGGCACAGCAGGGTCGGGGTGGGGGGTGCCTGGCCGAGCATGGGGGGGCTGTGGGGGTTGTCAGGGCTGGTGCCCCTCAGGGCATGGGGGGACGGAGGGGTCAGGGGGTGCCAGGCCGGGTACCCATCCAGGCATGGGGGGGCTGGGGGTGACAGCTGTGCCCCCTCGGCCACATTGGGGGCCCGAGTGGGTGCCCAGGTGTGCACTGACAGGTGTGCACCAGGTGTACCCTGACAGCTGTGCCCAGGTGTGCACCAGGTGTGCCCTGACAGGTGTGCCCAGGTGGGTGCTGGGCAGTGCCCAGCGGGGTGTCCAGCTGTGTGCCCAGGTGGGCAGCAACAGGTACCCCCCCAGCCATGTCGGGGTGTCTAGGGGGGTGCTGGGCAGACACCCAGGTGTGGGCACTGCCAGGGGGGTGCCAGGTGTGCCCAGGTGGGCAGCGACGGTGCCCCCCCAGCCATGCTGGGGTGCCAGGTGGGCTCCAGGTGTGCCCAGGTGTGCCCAGGTGGGCAGCGATGGTGCCCCCCCAGCCGTGCTGGGGTGCCTGGGTGCGTGCCCAGGTGGGTGCCAGGTGTGCCCAGGTGGGCTCCAGGTGTGCCGGGCAGTCACGGCCGGTGCCCCCCCCAGCCATCTACCTGCTGTACGCGCGGCTGGAGGAGCAGTTCGGGTTGGCACGCCGGGCCATGGGCGTGTACGACAGGGGCACCCGGGCCGTGCCCCCCGAGCAGCAGCGGGACATGTTCCACATCTACATCCGCCGGGCGGCCGAGCTCTTCGGGGTCACCCACACCCGGCCCATCTACCAGCGAGCCATCGAGGTGGGCACGGGGCTGGGGGCACCTGGGGGGGTCATATGGGGAGGCTGGGGGGTGACAAAGGGGCACCGGCAGTTGGCAAAGGGGCACCGGGGGCGGTGGGGGCATCTCAAGGGGGCTGGAGGGTGACGAGGAGCATCTGGGGGTGACAAAGGGGCACTGGGGGGAAGGGGGGGCACCTCGGGGGGTTGGGGGTGACAAGGGGCACCTGGGGGTGACAAGGGGCACCAGGGGTGGTTGGGGGCACCCGAGGGGGCTGAGGTAGGTGCAGAGGCACAGGGATCTGTTGACACCACGTGGGTGCCGCGCTGGGGGGGCCCTGGCAGGTCCAGGGGGGGCAGGTGGGCCCAGGCAGTGCCAGGTGGTGCCAGGTGGTCCCAGGTGGTGCCAGGTGGTGCCAGGTGGTGCCAGGTGGGTGTGCTGTGCCCCCCAGGTGCTGGGGGACGACGCGGCGCGGGAGCTGTGCCTGCGCTTCGCCGACATGGAGTGCAAGCTGGGCGAGGTGGATCGGGCCCGGGCCATCTACACCTACTGCTCCCAGATCTGCGACCCCCGGGTGAGGGGGCACGGGGGGGGCACCTGGGGGGCACAGGGGCATACAGGGTCACATCTACACCTACTGCTCCCAGATCTGCGACCCCCGGGTGAGGGGGCACGGGGGGGG